GTGTGTGTGAGAGAGAGAGAGAGAGAGAGAGAGAGAGAGAGAGAGAGAGAGAGAGAGAGAGAGAGAGAGAGAGAAGGTAAGTCTCGAATGTCGTGCTGGCGTCATGGTACTTCTTCCATCGATAGGATGCGGCCGACCCAATGCGCCTCTTCGATGTACAAAATGAAAATGAATACTCCGCTAGAACATGGAAGATACATTGCCATATATTTTGTCTTTTGTTTGCGCCCGACAATTTTTTTTTTCTTCTGAGGCACAAAAGACAAAAAGATGGCAATGTATCTTTCCATGTTCTAGTGGTGGATTCGGTCTCATTTTGCACGTCGAGAGTCCCCCGGCCTTGTTCCCAAAAAGGAAACCGAAACCACACGTCGGCCGCCGACCACCGTCTTTATACAAACGACCTCCCCAACCCGCCATGGTCGCTGAGCCTCTAAGCTCTGAGACGACCGCTCGGCCTACTGGTCGTTTTCACCTCCCCGACCTCACCCTTCCAATGCACCTCTCGACGCCCTCTAAACCCCGCTTAACGGACGAAAACCTGCCTAAAAAAGAAATGCTCTAGACGACAAAAAAGCCGAACCGGGTAAGGCGCAGCCTTTGGTTGCGAATTGCATGGGGCGGGAGGGGGTGTGCTACTCCCCCACACTCACAACTTGACAATGGGTCTTGCCACACCGCAAACGAAACGAAAATGAAACGAGTGCATCTGACCACGAAAGGTGGCAAAGTACACTCGTTACTATTTACAACAAACGGATGAACCTGGCCGTTTTCTGCAGGAGGATGCACTCGTTTCGTTTTTCGTTTCGTGTCCCGTGCGACGACGCCCAATGTTGGTGTTTTTTTTTTTTTTTTTTTTTGGAGGCCAACGACGACCCACGGTGCTCGCAGGCCGTGGACAGCAAAAAAGCTGAAAGCAAGGGAAAAAAAAAAGAAAAAAAAAAGCTCGAAGCCTTGAGCCTGGCTCCGCTACTCTCGACATGCACACAAGACAAAAACCATGGCGGTGTATCTATCCATGTTCTAGCTGAAGATTCGTTTAACGCGAATCTCCGATTGACGAAATCGAAAGAAAAGAGCCTTGGTGAAAAAGGGAAAATACAGACTCGGGGGGACGGGCGCTAGAGCGGGCGCAGGAGCGCTCCGACTAGCGCTACCGGTTCGGCTGAACCGGTGCCACTGACCCGTGGACAGGCACGCGGCCTGAGCCACGAGGATTCGCTGAAGCTTCCCCCGGAGATGGCGGGGTCAAATTCCTTCAGGGAAGGAGGGAGAATGGAGGCGAGACAGTGGTCGGGAGATGACGAGTTGTTAACCATGATATGCGGAATATGAGGAATGGACATGGCGCGACGACGTCGACGTCCCCAATGTGGAACAGAGGGTCGAAGAGGAGGATGAATACAGTCAGAGAAGTTTCCAGGTGAAAGGAGCACGCCGAACCATCACCTTCTGGGCAAAGGAATTTTGGTCGTGGACTACAAGGGTAACTCCTCTTGCATGTGTAACTTCTCCCCTATACTTCACCCCCCTCCTTGACTACGGTGAGATGTGTAGACTAGATTTCGTTTGTCTCTAACTTTTAGCCCGCTTTACATCCGGTTGCCTTCCGTGGTCGACAAACCCTCAGCCATAGGTTGGTCAGAGATCGTCCTTAATTATTTCCAGTTCATCGTTCAACCTACTAATAAGCCCCTGTCCTCTCCTGAAAGCGGAGAATATCGAGTCAACGCCTTTGAAACGAGACCTAGGGCGATTGCTAGTCCCTTAATGAAGAATCACACGATAACGAGGAGTGGGAGATATCGGGAGTAGTATGCTTTCCAACCAAAGCCACCCGCTCCTCTAGTGATAGACAAGGAGCCCTGAGAAACGTTATCTAAATAGGGAGCTAACCGCACTTGATACTATCTTTGCATCATCTTTTGATACCAGAGCATCGCTCGCACCCCATAATTTTGTTGGTGATGCCCTTCGAAGGGTTCGAATTCCGTCTATGAGCTTCGCCACACGGCACATGAAACGAAAATGAAATGAGTGCACCTGCCCATGAAAAATGGCGAAATACACTCGAAACTGATGAACCTGGCCATTCCTGCTGGAAGATACATTCGGTCCATGTTTCGTTTCGTGTGCCTTGTGGGGTCTCCCTAGGTCCCGGACCACGTCCATTGGGGTAAAACTCACTGGGGGGGCTGTAATTGAGAATATGGCCTGGCTTTGTAATTGAGCACCAACTTAATTCGTAAAGCGAGAGACAAGGAGGGTTGGAATAAAATTTATCGAAGGTGGCTGTAACCGGGGATCGAATTGGGATCTGAAAATTAGCCAAAGCGGGAAGTAAGGAGTTCGGAGGGGCGTCATTAAGTTGTGTACTTATTGCTCTCGGACATTATCGCCCTAACCCATAAGGCGGAGTTGGTTGATTGTCATCGACCTCACTTAAATGCAAAACATGAACCCTAATCCTCCCCACCCTCCCCAGACGGGGGGAATGGTTGTTCAAGGAATGATGGTCCAGGGAGCACCTCCTGCAAACCCAAGCGGAGCAGAGGACCCAAATCGTATCAAAATGCTCCTGGATCTGTGCTTTGACGATGGTCTCTTCCCTGAATCAGAGATTGAATTCGGAGTGACAGAGATCATAGACGGAGTGGGAGTCCTAACGCTGAGTGAAGAGGTCAACATGGCTACAATCAATTGGCTCAAAGCCAGAACGGTTATAGTGGTGTTTGATGAACCAGCCATGTCAATCAGTGTGGCACAAAGAGAGCAATTGATCCGAATCTATGAGGACGCATGGTACTTAGAACCGACCGTCAACCCATCACAGAAACGGGGACACACTCACGGGGAGGGCCCTAACATCACGTGTTACATAGCAAGGAATGCGAGGATAGCAGAATGGATGATCATGAAAAGCGAGGACATGATACCTACGAGAAACGGAGCAATTAAGGGGATTTTTAAACCCTGGATGACCAAGCAGGAAATAGATGAGATGAGAGACAACGATGCAGCAGGTAAGTACCGGATCATAGCACTATGGGTCCCGCTTGAAGCCCTTTTCCCACTTAGATTTGCAGTGGAAAGGATGATGGGAATAATTGTCCACATGCACCCACCAGAGAGAAACGCAGATGAACACGGCTTGGGAATATTAGGATTGATTGTGTTCCTGAAGTCAAGCAGAACTTCAAGGAATGGATAGTGGTTAGACAGCCAACCGGTCCGGGTTTCGTAGAAGTACAATTTGCCAACCAGGACACTCTGTTTTGTAACAAGTGTCTCTGGTGGTTTCATGACGAATTTGACCCGGAGTGTCCGAGGTTAAATGAACCAATGCCTGAAGGCCGCAGAGGAAGGGGCAGAGGAAGAGGAGGGAGGGGAAGAGGAGGAGGAGGAAGAGGTAGAGGAGGAGGGAGCAACTATGCAAATTTAGCAAGGGGAGGCAGGGGCCACCCCCCAGCCAGCAGTGCCCCAGCCAGCAGTGCTCCAGCCAGCAGTGCTCCAGCCTCTAGTGCTCCAGCCTCCAGTGCTCCACCACCCTCTCTACCAATGATATTATATGGTGCAGCCCCCCTCCCACCACCACCCCCCCCAGCATCACGCCGAAACGCGGTCCTTAATCTGGGTAGCTACCAGGGCTCAGGGACAACAGGGGACCTACAGAGACCAGGGATACAGGGCTTTCCACCAGGATTTGGAAGGCAGGCCGCTTAGAACCAGCAGCCCGTAGGTCACCAGCCTTCAGCCCTCCAGCTGACAGGAAGTACACCGAGGGGGAGGGGACTGGGAACAGGACTGTATTCGGCAGCCCCCCCTACGTGGTTGAACCAGCCATCTACAGGGGTGCACCAAGCCTACCAGGGGCTCCAATTTCAGGGTCATGGACATGGACACCCCCAACCCCAACCCCTGCAGGCAAGGGGACAACCCCTGCTGCCTCGTCATCCCTGGGCTAACACATCGCAAGTACAAACTGGGGTACAAGACCTCACAATCGTGGTAGGGATACCAGGCCACTCAGGCTCAATAGGACTCAGTAGACCGCAGTTGGGGTTCGGGCAGGGAGGTAGGGTCGAAGTGGTTGGTCCGAGTCATGCTATGGGAAATAGGGGCATGGGAGTTAACAATCATCAATCGCTGCTAACAGGTGGAAATCTGGGCACATACTAGGGGTGGAATCAAAACGGGGGATTTGGGACACAGGGGAACCAGGGATTAGAAAGACAAATGGTCAGTCAAAGCCAAGGAGGACCGCTCCCTTTAGTCCCAGTCGGGGCTCCAGGGCCAGCTGAAATTGCAGGATTGTGGGACCCAAACCGCCAAACCGGCATAAGTCGACCAACACACCACTTGCAGGGAGGAAATGGGGAAGACGGACTGAGAATGGTGGAAAGCTTGGGTCCAGGACCATCCATGGCTCAAACACTGAACACTGCCTACACAAATGTACAAGCAACAGAGGTAGAGGGAGGGCAGCAAGGCCCAGGCCCCACACCAGCCCCGCCTCCATAGGGCCTACCTCCGAGAGAGCTTTCGAGACAGCCATTTGTAGCGGTACACATTAATTCAGAGTTCGAAATAGAGAACAAAAGTGAGGAACTGACGACATTAGAAGTACTAGGAGTGAGACCGAATGGGGATGGGAACCACAACCAACAAAGAGGGAGGGAAGCAACAGGGGGAACACGAAGGGAGGAAGATCGGGGACAGAGGGACAGACCGTATACAGAGGGTGACCCCCCTCTCAGAGATCACATTATGAGGGACCCCGGAAACAGAATGTCTCTACAGGCACCGGTGAAGATGAGAAGAGTAGGAGATGAAGGACTGAGCGAGACAACCAGGGAAGAGGAAGAGAGGGAGGTAGAGTTTTACACTATCCGACCCACGAGAACACAACAGGAGAACACAGAGAATACAGGGCAAGTTATGGGAACAGGAAATGTGGGGGCTGGCCCATCCAGGTTATACGGGGCAGCCAGTACAACAACGACAGCTGATGCAAAAGAAATATTACACTTCCTTATACCGCTGTGTGCCTCGTTAGCACCACAAGGGGTCAAGATCATGGCTCTCAAAACAAACTCTGGTCGATGTGCCCTACCCACCATTCCTGTTAACGCAGTCCCCTCCACCAAGGAAGCACTACGCAACGCTATACAGTTATTGGCAGCTAACCGTTTTGCATTCAGACTGGTGCCAGGTATCAGAACGGGCAGGAAATCCCTCACTCTCCCCAATGGTTTGCATGTGTGTTTTCACATAGTACTCGCAGATGTGAAAATCACGTCCGAAATCGCAACAGTCCTGGCAGATCAGGGATCTTTTTGGATCGCCCCAACATGGCTGGACCCCAACACCTCGAAAGAAGCCGAAAACCTGGATCTCCTCGAGCAGATAAACGCGGGCTTCGTGGCGGAATTCTGCGCAACATTGGCAGCGGACAAACAGCCATGGTCCCCATCTTTTAGGAACTTACTGCTAGCCCCTTGGGAAACAGGAACAGAGACAGAGGGACAAGGGCCAGGCCAGGGTAGGAAAAAGAAGGGTAGCAGCAGGGGCCACAATGATGCACAGCAGATCCAAACTAGTGCCGCCCAGACACCAGTAAATGACAGATAAACTGAATATCGCAACATGGAATGTCCGAGGGCTTGGGGACACCTCACGGACTTTCAAATGGAGCCGACTGAAGACGTGGATTCACAGAAAAAAGGCACAAATTGTCCTTTTGCAGGAAACCAAACTGGACGAACAAAAAATTACACAGTTGGCTCGTTGGTGGTCCGGCCCCCAGTTTTGGGCACCGGCAAACGGTACCAAAGGGGGGACTGCAATCCTCTTCCATCGGGATCTAGAACTAACTATCCTAGACAGTAGGACTGACATTTGGAGTCAATGGGTGTGGGTGAGAATTCAAATGCAGGAACAGGAGTGGGTCCTAATGTTTGTGTATGCACCTGCGGTTCCCGGGGAAAGAAGATATTTTCTGTCAAAACTCCAACATATTGTTCCAGAAGCCCAGAACGTGGTGGTTGCAAACGACTTCAACACGGTTATCCAACCTGGTTTGGACTCGCCAGACATTGCAGAACGGAAAGTGGATGCAAGATTGCTCCTGCAGTTCATGGCGGAGAGAGAACTTACAGACTCGTTCAGGCAAATGCACCCTGAGGACCCCGGCTTCACATGGTTTTCAAATCAGCAAAGGGAAAACCAGCCAATGGCAAGACGCAGGCTGGACTTGATGTTAGCCAGAGGGGCAGCTTGGGAGGCCATGACCGAAGTCTTGGTAGACACAACATATATGTTGGACCATAAACCAGTATTGGCAATATTAAGGTTGGGTGGAGGTTTGAAGAAAGAAGCTGGTTTTTTTCGTCTAAACACAGAGAATTTGAAGAATCCAGCGGTGTTGGATTGGTGCAAGAGACACTGGGAAGACTGGGAGAAAACGAGAGAGTGGTTTGCATCAGAGGAAGAGTGGGTCCAACTCGGATTCCGCATGGTGACCAGAGCCTTGGACGCCTTCTCCAGAATACTAGCAAAGCAAAGAAACAGGGAAGAACAAGAGTGCCTCGCCCTGATTGAGGAAGTGGAAGATCAGATGGGGAGAGATCCGCTGACAAATATTTATTGGGAAAGGAGAAGAATCAATGGGGTGAAGAAGTTGGAGATTATCCAGATTGAACAGCAGGAGGCCTGGGCAAAGAGAGCAAGGGAGAGAGGGATGGCGCAAGTGGATCGCATGACTAAAGACACGTTTCACAGACTATGTCCACCGCACAGTCATAGCAAGATCAGAGCACTGCAACACCCCTTTAATGCACAGGCAGATCTAGTTGTAACAACCGAAGCGATGTCCCAGTTTGCGGCCGAGTATTATTTAGACATCCTTACCTCACGAAGACCTCCAGAGGAATCGCTGGTGGAGATGCAAAATCAGGGCAACATGTGGCAACACACCTCAGAGGCTTTGACGCAGCAGCAGAGACTCAGCCTGGACCGACCCTTCACTCTAGAGGAACTGAAGGAGGCAACTAAAAGCATGGCGAGGGGAAAGTCGCCCGGGGACGATGGCCTCCTGGTCGAATTTTTCGAAGCTACGTGGGGGCAAGTAGGACCGATATTGCTGAGCTTGTTCAACAAGGTTTTGGAGGGTGGACGTTTGACCGAAGACATGTGCAGGGGGGTCATTACACTGTTGTACAAGAAGGGGGATAAGTTGAATGTCAGGAATTGGCGCCCGATCTCCCTTCTCAATGTTGCATACAAAATACTTGCAAAGGCCCTATCACGAAGACTAGGACAGTTCCTCCCCGATTTGGTGAAGTCTGATCAAGGAGCCTTCGTCAAAGGGAGGTCGATAGCGGAGAACATTATGGTGGCGATGGGGGCATTGGAGGTGATAGGGAAGGAGAAGAGACAGGTTCTAGTGTCAATGCTAGATCTGGAGAAAGCGTATGATCGGGTGAATTGGTCCTTTGTGCTGACGACACTCGAACACATGAGCTTTGGTGTATGTTCCCGGAGATGGGTGGCAGGTATGTACAAGCGCTCGACAGCAACAGTGCTGGTCAACGGCAAGAAGTCACAAGAATTCGCCCTCACTAGATCATTAAGGCAAGGGTGCCCGCTGGCCCCTCTCCTTTTCGTGTTACAGATAGAAGTGGTCCTCAATGCAACAAGGTCAAACAGACTGGTGAAAGGCTTGGAGTTGAGGGAGGAGGTGAAGACCGGTGCGATCGCTAACGACCTGCTCCTCATCACAGAGGCCACCAGCGAGTCCATGGGAGCAGCGAAAGGGGTCTTGGACATGTACGCAGACCTGTCAGAGGCCAAGGTCAACTGAGACAAGTCTGTATACTTCCTCCCGGAAGAATACGACGTTATAGAGGATTGGACCATGAAGGGCATAGGGCTTAATGAGTCGGAACGGTACTTGGGACTCCAAGTATCGCCGACGAACAGTCGGCCAGCGCAGGATAAGATTCTGGTGGGCAAAGTGGAAGCCAGGGCAAAAAGATGCAGCGATCCTGATTGGGTCGGGCAACAGTAATCTCGGCAGCAATGTGCCATATGGGTCTGTCCCTCATGGGTCGGGCAACAGTAATCTCAATGTCTATCCTTTCGCTCATATGGCACATTGCTGCCGTGATCCTGATTTCAAGAACCACCATCCAACAGATTCGAAGGGCAACATCTTGCTACCTATGGAAACCAGGAGAGACGGAGGAAAAGGGCTTCATCTCTAAGGTAGCCTGGGACACGATCACGCAGGCTAAGGGTGAAGGGGGACTGGGGATTGTCGACCCTGAAAGACAGAATGTGGCTATGTTGGGGAAATGGCTTCAAAAGATCAGCCTGCAGGGAGAGGAACGAAATTGACTGCTAATCATGCAATACATTTTGCAGCGGGAATTCCACCTCACTCGCAAAGAAGATGTGTGGCTTTGCCTACAGCTGGCAGCATTTCTCAAACGCAGACCAAAATCGGCATTGGGAGCAGCCTGGTGCACGGCCTGGAACAGATTGCGTCCTCAGTTACCCTCCGAACCTGTGTTAAAAGAAGAAGTCTTGATGCAACAACTCTTCGAGAATCCAAATATCAGAGATCTAACGGGCAGCATTTTGGAAATCGTCGGGCCTGGTACCTTTGGAAGGAGGTGGATTGAGAAAGGTGTGTCCCGGATCAGAGATTTTTGGGACGAAGGGTGGAGGGACTGAAAAACAGAAGCCGAACTCAGAGGACCTCTGGGGAGACTCCACGAAGTGGGGACCAGACTCAGAGAACTGACAAAAGCTATACCATTGGGCTGGAAGGTGGAATTGGTCAAACAAGACACAAAGACAGTAGGGGCGTGGTATAAAGAGGCTCACCTGGGAGATAAGGTGGAGCAGGTGTACAGGCTGGAAGACAAACTTGATGAAGAGGTTTGGAACGCTTCGAAATGGGAACTGTCAAGCACCGGTACAGATGGGACCAAGCTTCGAAGAGTTGAGGAAGAGGCGATCAACGTAGAACAACCTCTCACTGCCATTCGAGTATGCCTGAAACCAGGACCCAGACGGGGACCAGAGTACTTTTTCATCCAAGGAGGGGCGGCCATTCTGAATCTACGGATGAACCCAACAGCATACTCGTGGCACTGGGATGGGCAAGGCAAGAGAAACTTGTCTAACTATGACACAAAACTGGGAAGGAGAGTTCTGAAGCCGCCTGAAACCAAAATGAATCAGATTTGTGAAAGGGCGGCCAGAACTTTCAACTTACGCCCGGCCCCCACAATCCCAGAAATGAAGTCCGTTTGGGCAGCGATCTCAGACCTCCCAAGCCTTAAACTTGCAGAACTACTGTGGCTGCTCTCTCATTCCGCAATCCCATCAACGAAGTGGCTGGGTGACAAAGGGATGGAGGTTAATCGCCAGTGCCGTCATTGTGGGAACACACAGGAAGAAACGACGTACCATTTGATTTGGGACTGGCCAGCCTCGAAGAGGATCTAGCGCTCGTGGGCGGATCATTGGCTACGTTTAGGCTCTGCGCTGGTTTGGGATGAAAAATGGGTGGTGGGGGGACGGCTCCCCCCCCTCTTCTTCAACCACAGTGGGTGGGGATACATGGCGCAAGCTATTCGGTCTGCCATTGCCTGGGTAATATGGGAAGACCGAAATAAGATTCTCTTTCGGAATGAGTGGTCGGCAGATGCAGCCATCCAGGCCAGAGTCAAGGCCTTGATCAGGACGATGGTTGTGGCAGACTGGGTGAGACGAGCGGGGAGCGGTCGGGCGCCAAATGGCAAAAGGTGGTTCCTTTTCACATGGGCAAGAGCAAACCAATTGGCCGCTGTCACGCTGGCTGGAGACCTGGTGCTAGCTCCTTGGCTGAGCGCAGAGGAAGGCAGAAGACCACAGTAAGACGGTTGAGTAAGGGAAAGGAGAAGAGTGGACGTGTGGGTGAGGAGGGAAAGGAGGGGACTAAGGCGAGAGCCGCGAGCGACCGGTACTGGTTTAAACGCAGAGATGAGACTCCAGGACAATGGGCACAGGTCCACAGGAAACAGGGAAAGGGGTAGGTAGGTAGATTCGGATAATAAGGTAGCTTAGAATGACCTGGCTCCTCGGTCTGGAGGTAGGTTCGCAGGAGGACCGCCGCTAACAGTACTCAGGAAGCATAGAAGAAACAGGCATGCCCTGTTTCAGGGTTTGGGTGGCCTAGGGTGGAGGTTGGATTAGGCGGAAGGGGTTGGGGAATGAAGGGGTAGAAGTTTTTGATAGTGGGTTTGGTGTTAGTATGGCTTGTTGGTGTCATTTGGTTAGTGGTAGAAGACTGGTAGAGTAGGCAAAGGAATAGTAGTAGTAGGGGATGTGTGGACTAATACAGATGAGTGACAAGTGGGGCTGGATATTTTCAAGTTCAGAAGCTAAACCGGCTGCTGCTGCCGAGATAACTCCGGGTTGAATTGTGAGGTCCCGGGCCTCGTGACAATGTGTTCTATTGGAATATAATGAACGTGTTCTTTTCAAAAAGAAAAAGAAGAAGAAAAGAGCCTTCTACACGCGCACGGTCTCTTTTCCAGGCTGCACACACATGCATTTCCACGCCTTAGGGACAAGATACATTCACACACATGCATTCATAAGCTTTACGCACAAGGTGCACTCGGACAACAAAACGTCCAAATGCATGCGCGTTTATGTAGTATATGGAGCGAGGCCCAATGCACAGGCAACGAAATGAATCCCTTTCTCTTCTCTAAAGCATGCCGGACCCTCCGCCGAAATCGAGACTGAAAACAAAAGGGCGGAAAAAACAAAAAAAAATCGTCGATAAAACAAAAAAAAGGACGAAAAAAAAAAAAAACGATGGTCTCCCAAACAGGAAACACTAGACGCCGCCCGCCAGACCTCGGACGACCTCCCCGACCTACCGCTGGTCGCTTAACGTCCAAGCTTTCGCGCGACCTCTTAGCCTACCGGTCGTTTTTATGTTTGCGACCTCACCCTTCCAGCGCCCCTGTCGACGCCCTGTAAACCCCTGTTAACGGTCGTCGACTTTCCCTGAAAAGAAAGTTGTGCTACACGACAAAAAAGCAACGGGGTAAGGCGCAACCTTTGGCTGCGAACATCCCCGCGGCCAAGTGTCCGCCCTTGAAAAGGAAGTGCGGGGGGATACCGACCCAAAAAGAGGGGGGACTACGGGAGCGCTTCCGCCGGCGCTAGTGCGCTCGGACCAAGCCCTTCGCGGTCGGTAACGACGGAGTGTTTGGCTGCGGGACATACCATCGAGATATCTGCGCGGCAGTTTCAAGGGACCGTCACCTAGCTTTGCTCTAGGTCATGTCTATAGTGTGAGGACATGGAGGTTCCCTCGACTTGGCACCCGGCAGACCCCAGGAGGACTTGAAGCCTGAGTGTTTTGGAGTTTGATTAGGTCTAGTAATGCTGACCGTTTTCGTTGCTAATTAAGTTACCCAGAGATCCTCAGGTGATTAAGTAGGTTGTTGAAGATGGATGCATCAATAATTATGGAAGGTGTTGTAGAGGTTGGTCGTGATGGCGCTCAAGCGGGAGTAAGGGACATTGGAGCAAGATCGGCCTCTCAAGCTCCTTTGGGGGGCGAAGAAGATAACTCAAGGCTTAGAGAACTGGTTCGTTTATGCTATCTCGATGGACTGATGCCCATGGACATCGACCCAGATGAGATGACGATTGAAGGACGAGAAGGACGCTTCAAAGTCAACGTGGATTTGGACCAAACCAAGATTAATTGGTTGAAGGAACATACCGTCATGTTTATATTCCGAGTTGGAGCGAGATTCCTCCCGAAGAATGTCAAGGACGATATCGTTCGGGCATACGAAGACAAGAAGACCAACGATGGCACTTTTGAGGTTGCGAATTTCAGTCGAGGCCGAGTTAAAATTGAGAGTCCAAACGTGATTTTGCATGTGGCGCGATCCAGCGAAATCGCGAGATGGCTTGTTGAGAAAGGACAAGACGAAGTCTGCATCGACTCTACTCAATACATCTTTGAGTTCAAACCTTGGCTCACGAAAGCTCAGCTATGAGCTCAACGCCGAAGAGAAGATGAACATCACTTTTGGGTGGTGGCGGTGCAAGTTCCACTTGATGCTTTCCTTTTCTTGGAAGCACAAGTGAGCAAGGCGATTGGTCCGGTCCTGAGATCTTTTCCTCCTGAGCAAGACTGGATGCGTCCTTCATTAGTCAATATCAAGTTTGAGATTGATTCGTCTGCAAGAGCAAGTATGAAAGATCAGATCTGGATCGATACTTCGGAGGGAGATACCCTCGAAGTGAAGTTGGCCTCAACTGAGACACCGAGATGTCGAAGATGCCGAGCCTTCTTTCATTCAGAAGTGGAGTGCAGAAGGAGCAATCAACAGAACAATCAAGCCACTTCTACTGCAAGGAATAACGGTCCACAAGGCGGTGTCCACGAGGTGACCTCTGCTCAATATCATGGACCTTTGGGTCCTCCTTCGTCCCCTTCTGGAGGAAAAGTTGTTCCTGCTCAGTATCAAGGTTCGTTGGGTCCTCTTCCGTCTTCCTCTGGAGTGAACGCTGAACCTGCTCCAGCTTCGCTATCAACGAGCATCCCCCTAGGGGTGTTGCCCCATGGAGGTTCACTCCACAATAACCTGATGTTCTCACCGGGCTTGGCTTCTTATCCACCTGCTGGAGTCCCAGTACATCCGTCAATGCATAGTAGTCATCCCATGATGGGACAATACTGGAATCTGTCGATGGCTATGCCTTGGCACACGTCGCAACTACCATATGGAATTCCGCAACATTCCAGAATTGTGCAGCCCTCAGCGTCTGCCTTTGGGCCGTTTGTTAGCCAACCACCCCCAATCAGGGGAGTGACTATAACTTGTTGCGACAGGAGTCCGGCCATCAGGGCGGCATC